GCTGAATCAGCCAAGGACCGGCACACTAAACCCCCTCCTAAACAAAACCTCTCCATCCAGCGCCTCCCACAGGTCGAAGTAGTCCTCGTCGAGCTGTGAGAATTTGTGCATGTACCTGAGGCAACGGCCGTCTCTTGCGCCTCCAGCGCAAACAGTAACAAAAACACGGAGGGGGAGGGGATACTCCGCGAAGGCTGGACAGCCACGCAGCTGAACCTAAGCCTAAAAAAAGCCTAAGAACTCCTGACACCAAGGCCCCCTGAAACCCTCTTGAGCGGCCCGGGCACAGGGTGTGGTTAGCCTCGGCGCCGAACCAGAACAAACCTCCAAAGCCTGGCAGCACATTGGATGCTTAGGTGAGGGCATGCTAGGGCTGTCTGTACCTGGTTCGAGTGCTTGCCAGGCCCCACAATAAGGTACTCGAACGGCCCGAACCCCTAAACCCACATTCCTGGGTCATCCTTGCCACTGAGTCACAGCCAGCAGCAATCGGAAGCACGAGCCCGGAAAAAGCCGGCGAGTCTGCAAAGAAGGCCTCTTGGATTTGGGAAGCGAAGGGTGGAAGCTTGGGTTCTCAGGGATTCTGAATGATTATGACTCGCTATGCATGGAGATCTGAGATCAAGTCTTCTGCCTGGAGGTCTTAGCTCATCTTTGATGCCATACTCTAGGTCGGTCTTGATGGCGAATTCAAGTGAGGGCTTCCCCGAAGAGTGTGACAGTGTGACGATATCAAGAAATATGAGAACTCAAAGCAACACTGACGCAAGTAACGAGCTTTAACCCAAGCAGGTTGGGACAACGTGCTGGTCCAGTATTTCGACTTCCCTGCGCGTCAAGTTCCTACAGGATCCTTTCTCAAGCGCAAAGAAGGATCCAAAACCCAATGCGTGGCCGCTTGGGTTCGGAGGCTTTCTTTGGGACCGGGATTCAGGAGCCGGCTTCGAGCTTATCAGCTTGGCAGGGATTACAGGGTCTTCTTTATTGCTAGACGTTGTTCGGGTATTGGGGTCTATAGCATAGCCCCCTGAGATCCTAACAACATCTATCATGGTTGATATCCCAGGCTGATAGAGTTCGGGACTCCGGGACTCTTCAGGCCTCTCATGAGTTTAGTCAGGAAACTACGTGCTGAGCGTCTGGGTCGGTGGCTTATGGTCGGGCCTGCTGCAGGTCCCCAAAGCAATTGATTGCCTTGCAGTGGCCATGTGGTTCGGCTTCTAGCGCAGGCTACGAAAGCCCGACCCCTAGGTTGCATGGTGTCGATCTCGCTAAGAGAATGGCAGGGCGATCGGTCCACGGCCTAGCTATGTTCTAACATCGGGGTCTGCCATGGTGGCCGACTAGAACCTGGGCAACTAGTCCCGCCAATGTGCTACGCTGACAGCAAACCAAAACCCCCGAGTAAGTCGCTCAGAACTGTACCGAATGGTTACTGCACCTTGCAGGCCACGGCACGGCGAAGCCAGTGACATGCGCAAAAAGCATCGCCCAGGTTTTCACATCCAGCTCATGACGATGAGCACCTTTGCAGTACGAGGCTTAGCACCGCGAGCTTCGTCGAAAGCTTCAAGTAGAGGCCCGAACATCGGTCCAACGCCGAGTGGCCCTTTGCACCCTCTTAGGGCGTGGCTGGAATTCGATTGTGATTAGCGTTCCAGCCATTATTGGCTCTCTTGGCACCCTTGGCACCCTTCACACTTGTACTTGAACCCCCCCTCACCTGAGGTCTTCAATGGGAAGCAACCAAATGCACAGGTCCGCGCTGGCACGTCGCGACGTCCGGATGCGTAGGCAGACCGTTTGGTGAGATAAGGGTTTAACTAGACAGCGCACCAAGCGATGACAAGGCACTTTCTTTTCCTTCGATGGCTTCATATTGAAGCCGTACCCTTCTTGCCACGAACCTGTGCATCAGCCAGACGATTGGCGCAGGGAGAACAGTCATAGCAGTTCAGCTCCAGCTAAGCTGCCAGAGAACAAAGTTCATCGCCATCAGCCAGAAGAGCATGTGCAAAAAGTCCACCTTATGGTTGTGATACTCGCACGATTCACGTGTGTGTTCCAGCAGACACAGAAAAACAAAACTCAAGCGCTAGCCGAGAATCCACGATCGCAAAGCCGTGGAAATGACGAATCTCCTCTGGGCAGAAGAAGCCGGCAAGGTGTTCCCTAGACCCTTTTAGAAGCCTAGGAAAACCCTACGAGCCCTTAAGCAAAGTTGCCCTGAGGCTGCTGAAGTTCAGCCAGGATGCCGGCGGAATATCCCAGAAAACATGGTATTCCATCAGTCCTTGTCTGACTCAAACTGAGCCACATCTCGTCTGGCGAACAATACATCTGAAAGAGTCCGAAGAACAGCAATCTGCCATTGAAGAGTGACCTGTCTGTTGCTATGGTCGCCTCCACCGGACAGTCATGAGTCTTGAGTCGAGCAGCGGTTGGAAGCCGAGAAGATGAGGACCTGACGTTGCATCTGTCGAAATCTCGAAACGGGCAGCTGTACGAGGAAGCATTGGGAACTACGTAGAGTGGTTCACAACACTTCAGCGACTGTCCCCAGTCTCCCTGTAGGATTGCCGTTCCTCTTGTGCCACTCTGCGGAGAATTAAGTTCCAACAGACAGAGCCAAACTCCAAACCTCCACCATCCAAGAAGTTCTCGAATTCAGACCAGATGCAGCCGCGAAAATGTTGATCGCAGAGCTGATGACCTGAGAGGGCTGAGGGGTCGAGCTGCAGGGCTCAGTGTGGCTCCGCTGGTTCGTTTGCACTGCACGCCTTCCGCCTTTCGCATTCAGTGCCAGCGAAACAGGACAAGTCCCTCAGGCAGCCGGAGGATGATCACGACAACATCAACGAACCGAAAACGACCGGAGCAGTGCAACTGAACCTGGAAAGCAGCGAGACGAGTCAGGCCAAAAGTAATGAAGCAAGCAATTTGTCACTGGCCGTCCTGTAGAAGCAATAACCATCACTTGTGTAGAATCCTGATCGGTGGCTCCGCCGCCGTGATGAACCGCCCTAATGCAGACCTAGCTTGCCAGCTCTCGAAGGGTGTAGAGCTTGGGGCTGGGGTAGCCACTGGACCCCAACCTTTGAAGAGGACGCTGAGCTCGGCACCCTCCAAGAATACATCCTGCGATGCTGTCTTTGGAGCTGTGATTGTACAAAGCCGTACAGAGTTTGAGCATCGGTGCAAAGGCTTGGGAGCGAAGGCTGTTCCTATGGGGCTCCAAATTCCAAACGTTCGGGGCCGACCGGACGCTATCGGAAGCTCCGAATCACTCGTCTTTGAAAGCGAGCAGTTAGACGGGGACTTCTCGACCATCAAATGCAGAGGCCTCATAAGCAAGCTGTGAAAGCCCCGATCTTCTGCTACGCCACGGAAGCGCACCTGCTTGCCGCCTAAGGGTACGACAGGGATGCCCGACTTAAAACCGCATGTCTTGACCGAATCAAGGAATTGAAGTCCCCTAACGAGCGCCGCCCCGAGTCCCGCCGCTGTTTTGCACACCAGGACCAACTGTCGAGGTGTCCGACGCGACCCCGAAAGCCAAGTGTGGGCCGCTGATTCCGACCTCAAACCTTCAAAAATGCCAAAAATGCACAACGAAGAGCCTGCAGCCCCCAGCCTCCAAAGCACCTCCCAAAGTGGCCCCCAAACCCTCCAGAGCGGCCACTCCAAAATAGATCCGAAAGCGAGCCCGCACGAGTGCGCTCTCCTGGTCTCGGAGTCGCTGCTGTTCACCAAGTAGATGAGCGCCTGAGAAGCTTCAACTTCTGGAGTTTTAAGGGGCCTTCTGAAGGAGTTCTCACTCGCCCGAGGAGCCATCGTGAAAGCCACAGCACCAAGCAGCCTTGGCTTCCCTAGCTGAGAGCTTCGGAAAGCATCTCTGAGGAGCATCAGTGCAAAGAGCAACCTGTGGAGCATAACTCCCCTCTCCGCCTCCATGCCTACACCCGCGCTCTTGGCATCTTCTGCCTATCGTTTACAGAACATTTCCCTTGCGGAAGTCACGACCTACAAGGCAGATTCCGAGCGCGGTGTTGCTGTGGTCTATGTCCATTGCAGCTTTGTCACATCCACGCCACTGTTAGAGAGATGTCGAAATGAAGATCATCAATCGACAGCGAAGGCTCTGAGTGGCCTCATTTCCAACCGATGGGTATGAGACTTCTACGACTACGTCAATGCCAGTCTGGCTGGGTAGCGGTGGGGGCAAGGGAATTGGGTAGTATTGGGTAGCCTTATGACATACAACGAGGCCTCTCCCCTGATGTGTGATCACTCAAGTCCCCGGCCTTGAGCCACGGCCGCGGCTGGGCTGGTCAGCAGATTTTGCAGGACAGCCTACGGGACTTGCAAAGGCTGCTAAGGAGAAGCCACTTGGTTCTGGTATGTCACTGTACATTCACTTGCAGTCGCTGGTACAATCACAGCCGCAGTTGATACCTCCGCCTTCCTGGTGGGCTTGTCTGGTGCAGCAAGGTGACGAAAGCCAAGGCTGCCGTGGCCCAGGTGGCAGCTCGGGGTCGTCTCAATAGTCGAGGCACTCGTCCTGCAAACGGGGCGGAGTCCAAGGCAATTGTTCAAATGATGCTGCTCAGCCCAAATCCTGCAACCTCACATCTACACGAACAACCTAGACGATCATCCGGGCCTTGAGCAGCCGCGACACTTTGGAGACGTCGCCAATGAGTTTGCCAAGCCATGGCTGAGACGTCAAACGTTGTTGTTCTGGTGCTGCTCTCTTCTCGAGGAGGGATTTGGGTGGGGCTCCAGAGTGTATTGCAAGACGTGCCGTTCTCGGATTCGCACGACATTGTACATCATCACCTGACATTCAGGGTGTCAACTTTCAGCCAATTCGCGGCATATGTGTGCGTGCAGGATTGTGAGAGGGAGGTAAAGCCTCTGTCACTTTCACCAAAGCAGGTCCCTACAACGTGACCGCAAGATCCTGCCACGGCATGCAGCATGCATGGAGCGCAATGAGCCTCACAGGCACAAACGCCCATGACAGCCAGGGACATCTCCAGAAGCGGCGCATCTCCACCGTGTACCATCTGCAGGTTCAGTCTTGAATTCTTGGACATAGGACTTGGGGTGTATGTGGTGCTATGTCGGCACTCACGAAGGTGCAACTACCTTAAGACATACCGAGACCCATGGGCCCATGGACTCCTAAGACCTGGAAGACGCTTTCGCCAGCCTCTCGGAGCCTCAGGGCCAGCGCCCGGAGGGCGCCGAAGCACCTGCTTCTGACAGCTTACGGAAACCCCGATCTGAAGACAACTGGCAGCGACCATTCACCCGCACCCGGTCCCCGATATGTCCTCCCCTGATGGAGACTAGCCGGAATCATTTCTGCGGAGCCCAGAAATGCACAGCATGAGGAGAAAAAGCTCGATGGTACTATACGGTGGCGTTTTGACTTTCCAGTGCTCGATATGCATGCTGCAGGTTTTGCATTAGCATCAAATATGATTCGCGAGATGCAGATATTTTAACTTCCTCTCGTCAAGCAAGAGACTCTCGACACATGAAGGGAACCTCTGCAATGCCCATCATACCGCTCCAGCTTTGTCCCTACGTGAAGCCTATGTCCCAACTTGCACCCTTGCAAAATTTTATTTCGACCGTTTGTTCCCCGAGGCCCTGGCGCGAAGGCCGCGAGGAAGGCACGCCGGGGCCGGATCGGCTCGTCGGCCAGTGCTAAGCGCCTCCAATGAGTCCAAGACAAGAATCTATATCATATGTTCTAAATGATGCTGCATAAGAATAGTGTAAGAGTAAGTAAGAACAGTAAGAACATAAACAAGAACATACAAGTAAGTATACGGATAAATGAGACAAGAACATACTGAAGCATGTGGAAGAAAGATAGTGATCGATTTGCGTAGGGCGAGGATGCGTGAGGCTAAGTCGACGGAAGGATCTTGTCTAAGGTATGAAAGAAAAAACGATGGCGGCTCGCAGCTGGGCTTGGGAGCTCAAGGGGTTGCGAGCTGACACTTCTGCGACTTATGTGACTTATGTCCAGTGTGGACGCATTCTGCAGATTACGCAGCATACAGGTCAGGAACACTTCAGTGCTCAGGAGCAGCCCAAATCATCCCTGATCCCTCCATTCCTTACAACTCTATAAGGAATTTTCAGATTGGGGTTCGACCGCCTAATTAAAAAGCCTATTGGGATCTTGTGTGCTTGGAGACTCAAGAAATTTAGGGGTTGAAACGTTGAAAGCCACTTGAAAGCGCCCTGTACTGATCTTGTCGGCCTTTTCCGATGAATCCGAGTCGACCTCAGAAACCTCTGCCGTTGCGGTAACACCGAAGAGGCCCAGGGCACGTCGCATCTGACGCGCAAAATCGGACCACTCCTCGAAGGAGACGCTGGCACCTCCCTGCCTGGTGGCAAGTTTGCGCACGGCCTCCGCCCGTGAATGGAGCTCCAGAAGCTGTGCCGGAGGGTCGCAAGGGAGCTCGGCAGGCTCTCGTAATTCCAGCTGTCCTAGCTGTCCTATGCTCACAGTCATCCAATCTTCGCAGGGCATGGCAAACTCCTGTAAACTAAGGATCTGGCGTTTGTAGCTAGGCGACTCGAGCCGCCAAAGGAACAGCGGAGCCCCAGGCTTCAGGACATTGTCCGCGACCACGACAGCCCCGTGGCTTAGGAGGTTTCGTGCCTCGAGGACATCTAAGTCCTCGTTGTAGCGAGAGCCTCGCTGGTCCATGAACACGGCTCCAAAGCGTCCAAAGCGTCTGGTTTTGCTCCTGCTCTCGCATCTCTCGCCATCGCGAAACAAGCGAGGCAGCAGGAACTGGCTGTGACCCGTCCAGACCTGCACTGCAGATGCCTCCTTTCCAGCTAAGGCCAGGATGTTGCTGGCCAAGGTCACATGAATCGGATCCGCCTCCAGGGTGTGAATCGGAACTCCTGGTACACACTGGGCCATTCGAAGGGCTGAATAGCCGCAGTACGTGCCAATCTCCAGAACTTCGGAGCCGCTAACTGCGCCACACACCGATGCCTCCAGCACCTCAGCTTTTTTGTTCCCGGCCACTTTCAGCCATCGGCTTCCGCCGCTTCCGGCGCTTCCGCCGCTTCCGGCGCTTCCGCCGCTTCCGCCTTGACCCAGGCCAAAGTCCTCGATCGCTTTGCACACAGCTCGGGCTCCTGCTGCCCTTGCGACGTCACTCCTGCCACTCCTTCCACCGCTTCCACTCGCCCTCTCATTCTCAGAATTCCTTGCCATGCGTCGCAGGACATAGCGGAGAAGCTGCAACTCCTTGAAATACCTGTACAAGCCCTGCCTCCCTGTTGTCACCTGGCGGTTGGGCGGGAAGGACGTAAGGGCTAAGACTGGGGCCCAGCTGCCCCTGTTGTGGGCAATGGCTCCCAACACCAACGCGCGTAGGTCAGCTGAGGCGCCGGGCGGTGGCGGGATCCCGTCGACTGTGGCTTCAGGCAGCCGCAGCATGACTTGGTTTCTAACTTCGTGCTGCTGGCTCTGCTCGCAACTCGACATTATCGCGGCAATTGAGTGGGCACTGGGTAGTACCCGATGCCACTCAAGTAACTGCAGGACGTCAAGGGCAACTGGCCAGGTTGCAGCAGCACAGCATGCAAGAATAACAGCACCAGCGCTTGCTGCATCAATACCAAAAAGACGTGTTCGAAGATGCAGCAAACTCAATGCTGAGGCCCAATTGTCGCTGGCAGCACCGATCACGCTGTTGTAAGCCAATGCATCTGTTTGCAAGGCTGCTGCACAAAGCCCATGCACCGCAGACAGTGCAGTCGACCACTCTGACAGCGTGCTGAGCCAGGAGCCACACGCAACGCTGTCCGGAGTCATGCGCAAACCCAACTTGTGAAACAGGTCCTGTGCTCTGGACCACTGATCGCCGCAGGCTTGGATTGCAGCGCTGTGCCCCACCAGGTCGGTCCGAGCCGAATTCTCGACCATGCTGCGTAGGCTGTGAAGGGCTCGTGCCCAATGTGGCCCCGAGCAGGCTTTGGTCACAATGTTGTGTGACACCACGTCCTTGTCAGCCTGTCGAGACACGAGTTCCAGGCACACTTGCCATTGTTGACCTTCTGCACAGGCTTGCATTACATTGTTCTGCGCTATGGTATCAAGGGAGAGCCTGCACCGCCTTGCTTCCACATGCAAGAGGACTGCTTTGTTCCAGCGACTCGCTCGCTCACATCCAGTAACGGCAGCAGTGTGACTCATGATGCTGGCCGGCGTGCCTGCCAGAAGCTGCAGAGTCGCCGTCCACTCGCTTTTTCGAGCGCAAGCTGTTGCAGCTGACGTGCAGCCTCGACTGGTTGGCCGAACCTCCTGATTGAGACGAAGAAGTGCAAGTTGCCAACAGGCCGCCCCTTCACAGGCACTGATGGCTGCACTGAGAGCCACGGCATCAACGCGAAGGTGAGACCCGAACATGCGGGACAAGAGCGTCTCTGCCTCCTGCCACAACTGAGCTCTGCCATACCCCGCGATGCCAGCTGTGGGTGTCAAAACCGTTGGCCAGGTGCCTTTGACTTGAAGACGATCCAAGAGCTCAGTGAGCCAAGCCCAGGATTTCCTGGAGCACAAGCCCAAGATTCGCACGACTTCGCCAGTTGGGATCTTCGTCTTCGCCGTCTTCACACCAGCATGTCTCAGTTTCTCGACAAGCCCGCTGACGGACCTCTGCCACCCGAGGGGAGGAGGGTCCACGGTGCCAGCAGCACACCTCGTGAATTCCATTGCATGGCTTGACCATGGTGGGCAAGGTGTGTGTGCCAAGGCCACAGCCTTCAAGTGGAGGCGATCCAAGAACCAGGTTCCTGCTTACTCTTTACTCATCTACACAGCATGCCAAGTTCGCGATGTTGACCCTGGGACAGGGACCCTCCTTGAAGAATCCCAACCCTGTCGCACCAAATGTTCTGGCCGACAGCGACCTAGCTGGATAGAGATAAGACGTGAAACACAGCATATTCTGCCCTACACTTTGACGCAGCACTCGATTGCCTCAGGACCGCCCGCAGCACCGCCAGGAGGGGCGGTGTTTCGACCTGCTCCTGACTTAATCCGCCGAGGCCTTGGGCCGCAGGTGTCTGGGTAGCACAAAGCAGGCACTAATCCCTCCCCACAAATTTGCCTCGTTTATTTTGCACTTTCTGGCCTGACATGGGTACCCCCCCTAGCGACAAGTGGGAGCAAACGATGCATCAGGAGCAGGGGGCACTTCAGCCTGCCATAGGGCCTCCCCCCCCCAGGCCGAGGCGGGTCGCGTAGCGTTAAAATTAGCTGGCCGATATCTTGAGATGTGATCTCACACGCGGGGCTCAGCCGAACAGAGGGCAACCAATGTGATTGGATGTTACTGCTGGTTTCAGCCCTCACCCAAGGGGAAAACGCCAAGCAGCCTCTCCTCCTTCCTTCCTTCCTTCCCCTGCACTTGGTCCCCGAGAACCTCACTCCTCTTCTTCTTCTTCTTCTTCTTCTTCTTCTTCTTCTTCTTCTTCTTCTTCTTCTTCTTCTTCTTCTTCTTCTTCTTCTTCTTCTTCTTCTTCTTCGTCGCGCTTGAGAGGACCCCCTGTCGGAAGTCCCCGGCACCTCTCTCTCTCTCACAACCCGTTCTCCTCGCTCACTTCCCGGTTGATGAGCGCGGATATTCGGCCAAAGTCCAGTGCTGGAGGCACGGGAAGCAGCGCCGTGGCCTGTGCTCAGAATGAATGGACCAGGATTCGGCAGGACTTGAGCACTCTCGGCTATTCCCTACTGCCGGTTTCAAATAAACTTTGGTAGTCCAGCCTCGACAACTGCATGGACGGACGATCTGAGTCTGCCACTGTGCGAGCCCGCGACTCAATGCTCCTCGCAGAATGAAGCCGCCTGGCCTCAATGCAACGTGAACCCAGTTGTCCCAGTCAGCCAGTCAATCCAAGCCTCTTCTGCGTATGGAAGGGGATCGGAGAGTCAATCCGTCCTTTAATGAACATGCTTTTCAAGTGCTGCATCTTGGCATACATGCGGCTCAACAAACCTCATAGACAAGCCCGCACAACCCCTCGCACCACCAGTCGATGGATGCAAAACCTCCTGCAAGGCAGCAGGCCACCACAACTTCAAATCTGCGCATAACACGATGCAAAACCGCACCACGTCACACCTGTCCAATCAAGTCGACTCAGCAAACAACTCCTCTTTTCCTCTAAACCGCAGGCCCTGCACACTCTGTAAACTTCTGTAAACCTACCCCCAAACATTCCCCCACCCCCGCACCCCACAACCAGGCTGCTGGGCGTTGGGGTTGGAGTGCGAAGCATTGAGGCTGGAGGCAGAGCTTCCCCGCAAGGCCTGGGTTCGGCCAAGAGGCATGCGGCTTTGCACTGAAGCAACGGATTTCTGCAGCATGATTCAGCCGATTTCAAATTCAGCATTACGCCAGCTGCGGGCATGGCAGATCGAGGAAGAGCATTCTGAAACGAGGTGGGGCCCCGAGGCTCTTAGAGCCAAAGAAAGCCCCTTAAATCGGAGGGGGAGGGGGGGAAGCATGGGGAATGTAATGGGGTCCAAGTCAAGCGTTCGCAGAGTGTTTCGTTCAGGCCCCGCGCTTCTCGCGACATGGGCCACAAGTGATCCTTGCCAGTTGGTGAATAATGAGTCAGAAAAGACGACGACGCTGCAAAGCTGATTGTCACTCTTGCCTTCTGTCTGCAGCCAGTTTTCGGAACCCTGCTAGCAGAACGCCATGCAGCCCATGCATTCAACCTGAGCCATGAATCCTGACCTCCAACTCACCGCCCAAGCCCCAGTCTAACACCCCAGCTTGTACAACGGCCTGATAGACAGGGACGCCCTGACTCGGGCTGGAGACGCCCTGCCGCAGAAAGCAAGACAAAGTAAGGAAGCAGGCTGGCTTGAATGGAGCTCAACATCGTTTTTGGTGTTGAGGGACATCACAGAGAAAGCCCATGGCCTGCGGGACATCCAGGTCACAACTTTGAGCACGGATCAGGCTCTGGATGGAAGGCCGCATGGACCCAGGGATCTCCTTCATTGGGCCCTTTGAGGGCGGGGGCTCGCCTTTGAGGGCTTCGGCGGGCTTTTGAGTGGGCGCAGCCGCTGCAACGGTCCTGCGGCGCAGGCGCTGGAGCATCCTCCTGCATCCGGCATTTTAAGAGGGATGAGAGTGTTCGAGAGAATTAACCGAGAGGATCCACAGCAAAAGAAATTGAGTTAAACGCCAGTCGGAAGTTGCAAGGCTTGCTTGACGAGAAGCGGCTTTTTGGCCCCGTGTCTCGGGGCTGTTCAGGGCTGCTCATGCCCCTGTGACCCATCCCCACACATGTGTTTGTAGAAACAATCAGCCCCAATGAGCCCGATGAGGCCGCCACGGGCCGGCAAACCACCTGTGGCCCAAGAGCCAGCTCTCTGTCTCTGCAGGCAGGTTGACCCTCTCGGGGTAACTTGAAGCACTGCATGGCAGAAAGCGTCAAGCGCGCAGAAGAAGTCTTCCCACCTTGCCGAGTCTGCGTCGGGCTTCGAGCGCCTGATCAGCATTTTGGCAGGGGCTTGGGGGGCCTACTGAACTTGCAGAGTTCTGTGCTGAAAACAGCTCAGCCCTTGGAGTCCTGACCTCTGAAACCCTTGTTATCTGGGTTCCGGTGTTGGGGCTGTTTCGGGATTATTCGCGTTTGGAGCTTGTGAGCGCTCCGAGCCTGCTTCAGCAATTCGGGCTGGACCTTGCCAGCAACACTGAGCAAGGCCACCATCTGCTGGGGATCCTGCCTGGTGTTGGGCTTTGGGTTTTGGATAGGAATTGGAGCTTTCCAGGAGAACCTGCTTGGGCACTCTGTCATCATGCAGCGACCGAAGCTATGGAACTACGTACTTCGTAACATGCCTTACCCAGGCCTGTAGGGTCAGTACAGTACCGACTTCCCCAAACTGGTACGAGTACAAGCACTAAGAACATTATAAGAAGTCAAACATGCATTAGCAGTCAAGGGTCGGTTGCGAACCCCCAGCCGACTGCAGCGAAGCAGGTTGTTGGCCTGCAATGCGAGTGTGCGTGTGTCTGTGTGTGTGTGTGACAATGTGCACCAGGACGTCGCGGAAGCAACATCAAACGATTGCACTGCAGCTATGCTGACACATGTGCAGTTGTTGGGTCTAGCTTGCAAGAACGCTGCTCAAGTCGACGCATTCTCTACTGCAGATCCCTGAATACATCCGATTGGGCAAGTGGGGCATGTCCTCAGCCGGCCGGGACCCTACTTCAACCCCTCAAAACAAAACTGAAGCAGAACAACCCGTCTTGACGTCATGTATAGAAATCCCCCACTTAATTGCACATTCCAATTTGCAAACGGTCTTTAGAACTTCCCCGCCAATGCACAATCCTTCAAAGCAGTTATTTCCTTCATTGCTGGCCTCCTACTGGAACGTTGTATACCAGCTCATGCTCTGGCCGCACAGGCAAGTCCACAGGTTTCCAATTATGGAACCTCCTGCTTTGCAACCATGGGGTGGGGGGGAGGGCTTCTGAAAATGAAGTGAACATTACGAAGCCCGAAACGACCATTCAAAAACGTTCCGAGCCCGAATCCTGGGAATGCCTCTTGACCCCCAACACCTAAACTCTCAAATGCAATCACCCTTCCCCAAACTCCAAACCACAAGCCCTGAACCCTCCTCTGCCCTTTAGGGCGTGGGGCTTAGGGTTGCCATTACTCCGAGCTACACCTGCAACGACCCCTTGCCTGACTGAGACTGCGGCTTCCCAAACCTGGCTCGGCGGGCTGCAGGGCTTCAGGGGAAGAAGTAGGCTTTGGGGGCCGTTTAATGCCCTTTCCTCGAGGTATGTTGACGGGGAGTCGTCCTTAGTCCACAATCCCCAATAAGGACTGTTGGTATTAGGGGGAACAAGTCATACTGTATTCTGCTGGGCTGAATGTCGGTAGCATCTGTTTTTTGGGGGAGATCATGCATTTTAATTTGATAGCTGGGACGTACGGTGCGGCTCGACACGGGCGGGCCCGTCAGCCTCAACTGCACCAGAAGCTCCAAGCATGCCGGTCGCGGCATCTGATTCCGCGCCATGGCTTGGCTGGCAGCCGACAAGCCCAGATCCGCTATTCGGAGCATTTCATGCCTCGGCGAAAGAGCAGTTGCGAAAACAAGAAAATCAAACTAGGGTCGTGGTCGTATTTCTTTTTGCAGCTCACCTCATGCAGCTCAAGCAGCTCAAGCAGCTCAAGCACTGAGGCACCGGCCAACTGGCATGTGGCGGGGAGGCCGCTGGGCACGAGGACATGATAAGAGCACCGGCCTGAGGGAAAGTCGGAAGTTCACAGCATCGGGACTTGAGGGGTGACTAGCTGAGACCCGCGCCAAGTGTCTCAAGAAAGGTGCATGTCGAGTGCTGGCATGTGCCATTAAGAACGCCTCGGGCTCCACGAGGGTGAGTTTTGCAACGCAACGCCCACAGGCAACCAACGTGAACAGCTGTGATGTCAGGGTACCTGGAGATCTGTTCGCAATTTTTGCGACCATGGCTCCTGAGGGCATCTGCCGCTGCAACGTCTGAAGTCTCACAACTCAAACATCTTTCCAAGCCATTGGTGTGGCCTCGAAAATAAATCGCAGCGCAGCATTTTGCTGGGGCCGCGGGACGAAGGGAAGCGCATAGAGAGGAGACAAGCCTCAAAACATTTTGATGGAGTGCGGAATCGGACATCCGATTCGGGGATATGGCTGTAGATGAGATTTAGGTATCCTGTCTTTTTGGGGAAGGCTGGACTTGGAAGCTGCGTGTCATTCATCAATGGCGCCACGCGTGCTCACACGCGTCAGGAAGTCATGAGCCTTCAAGGACGCGGCTTTGCTGAGTCGCATCTGCGCCTGCTGAAGGTCTGGTAGCGAGAAATGCCTGCCATCAGCTGTTGCGATTGGATTCCTTACTTCTTGCAGCCTCTGGGATGGATTGGCCTTGAGATCCGTGAAGTCAGGATCGGACCTGAACGGGAGGCTGGCGGCAGGTGAGAGTGCGAGATGGGAGCAGCGTTCACAACTAGCAAAATCGGTCCGCTTGCCAGGAACCGACTAGAGTCTTTGGGACGTTCCGCCTCAAGGATAGGGCGCTCACACACGTTTTAGATTTACAAATCCGCTTCAAAGCTCAGCGGTGCGTCCTGCGCAAGCCCATCCGACAAAGTAAACCATCTCTTCTTTCTTGTAGGAAATCGACACGAAACCCCTAGAATGGAAGACTGAGCTGGGAAGAGATGCCCAGAGCCAGGGCCGGGGCACGGGCACTCCGCCGGCCCCGGACTCATTCCCAGAAGCCTTAGAGACTCTCAGAAACTCTCCGCGACTCAAAGACTCAGAAAAGTGACTCAAAGACTCAGAAAAGTGGTCTCGTCAGCACATCACACTGGTCCATCAAGGCACCGGGAGGGAGATGCCCCAATACTTTAATTCAAACAGCGTGATCCAAACTGTCTCAACAGATGTGTCTCTCAAAAATGTCTCAGAATCAGCTGTCCCCATAACCTCAGCAGCGTGCATCCTCGAGCGCCTGGAGTCCAAGACTCTCTTTTGATGTTCACCGATAGATCCCCCACCCGCACTATCCTGCTTTCAATTTGTTCCGGCCTTACGCGTCAGGTAGGTGCCAAAGTAGACGTGCAGCCGAAGCTCCAAGGAACACCTCTCCAAGCATTGCATCTGGGAGTGAACTTTGAGACGGGGACTGCAAGCCACTGCACAACGACTTCTGATTGGGAGGGGGTTCCTCAAATTCCTCCTCCGAAGCATCAGAAAGTAAAGCTCAAAAGTGGGGCACCCGAGTGGGCTCGCACTTGGAGAGGGCACCAGGTGCTTCCAGAGGTCAAAGAAAGCATCCTCTCAGCGAAAAGCAACTATTTGCCATGTCATTTTGGCTCAATGGCTAGTGTTTAGCATTTTGGGTTCCGGCTTCGATGTAATTCGCCTCGGCTTCCTGCCGAGAAGCGTCTGGAACAAGCAGACCCGGATCGGGCCTCCTTCCCCCTCACCCAACCCTTCCCCCCATGCAAAATTTTCTGACGCCACCACCCCCGGGGCTGGGGCCCCCCTTTTTTTGCGAAACCCTCTTTCCTGTCCTGGCCGGCCCGGCTGCCGAGGCGGCGCGCGCAAGCGTTTACAATTATGTGCCATCTTAGCAGAGCAACAAAGTCTTCGCATGACTCCATGATGGGGCTATGGAGGTGATTGAGCAGCCCCGTATTCTCCTTCTTCCCATCGTCAAACTCACAGAGAGCCTGACACCCATGTGGGCTCGGGCCGAACTGATTGCATGAACTCCATCAAAAATCCTGCCGGTCATGGCCTTGATCACCGCCAGCTCGGTGTGACCCTGCTCGTAGCTGCAAAGTATCACAGTATATCTGGGAATCAGGAGGACGTGATGCAAGAGCCTGCAAGCTAAACTGCAAGCCATCGCCCAAGCGTTTTCTGCAAATTGAGCTCCAGACATCCACCAGGCGCTCCGATGTGTCGTCCACTCCTGTGATGATACTGGTGTACAGCAAAAGCAGTCATATATTCTACATTGCTGCTCCACTGACGTCTCTCATTGGCGATTGAATCGCACGGATGTGGCGTGCCAACTCCACGAGAAGAACTACCAAGGACATGTAGTGTGTGTCAACGTGAGATGAGCCTGCACCAGCTGCTTCAGCCACCTGCCATAGAACAGTGGACTGGCTCTTAAAGCGAGTTTGGCCCGGCAAATTGCGGCGGCTCCTGAAACAACGCAGGGAGCCGCGTCTTGCCTCGCCAGAAAGGTTGGCACAAGCCCTCATCTGAGAAGCTTCGGAACATGGCATTGATGAAGAGTGCTAGCATGGTTGCCAGTTTCGTCAGACTTGCAGCATCATGCCCTTTTGCTTCTCCGAGCTGCCCAGAGCTCGATCCATAGCATCCAAGGTTTCCTGCGCTCACGACTGCTATCCATTTACGCTCGATCGGAATGCTGGTGTGTGTGTGTGTGTGCGTGTGTTTACATCTCCGTTGCCAACAGTAGTAGCAAGCCATTTGCTCCCTCTCCCCATCCTTCATGCCCATTCATGCCCTATATGACCCCCCCCCCGATTGACTCTAAAGACTCTAAAGCACATCCACAGAACTCTGGTCGCGTGGACACATCTCTGGCCCAGCCTGGAGGCCATGGAACTGCAAATACTCCCGCACGGCCTCCACCTGAGTGGGTTTGCACCTCTTGGACAACCGAGATTCCTTAAACCCAGGGACCCCTACTCACCTCAAGCTCCCACTCGGAGACTCAGAGCAATTCAGAACAGTTACGTTCAGGGCCTCCCAGGAACCAAGGCGTGAAGATCCCATGTCCCTGGTTCTGTTTTGTGCGCCTTGTCAGTTCGGGAGCTTCCCGAGGCTTGGGCCACCAACAGCTCACAGATCACACCACCAAAGTTGCCTGGGAAGGCAGGTAGTTCATGGCAGTGGCAAGCATCCCCCCAGATTCTTGGCTGAAGAACGTCTCTTGTATCACACTGCTTCCAAGCCCATAAGCTCGCTGCAGTCTCGCAGGATCGGGGTTGAGCTTGCAGCTGCGTACATCTCGGCAGTCGGACAATGAACAGGACAGTGGAGCCTAACGATCTCCCTGAGCAGCCGTCAACGGCAATCAATGGTGCAACCGACCCCTTGTCAAATCGCACTTGCAACAGAGATTGCAGCCATCAACTGACACACATGACCACGCGACCCGAAGCGAGGCTACCCAGACAAGTTTAGGTTGCCTCCCCCCAAACAACGAAAGCAAAAGGCATCAAAGTCCAAACTAAAGGCGTGATCTCAGGCTGGTGCCAGAGGCTTCTTCTCCTGATCAGACACTCGGCTTGGCGTCTCCAGGATCTCTCGCACCTGCAAACTCGTCCAAACCCCTACCCGAAAGATGGCTGCAAGTCACAGCGGCATTGAGTTCGGGAAGGCTGTCATGCGATAAGAAATCTCACATACGACAACTCACTCCATCATTCTTTTGCATCAATTATGCTGCATTGCATGTCAGGATGTTGAGATACTCACACATGGCGTGGCCTCTTTGTCAGCTGCGTCTCTCTTGTCGTGCGAAGACTGTGACGTGCTTGGTTTTGGCGGGGCCTAAGCTGACTTCACAATAACACTGCGGACCCAAACGCCCAGAATGTGCAAAAGCCTTCTTTTGATGCGTCAACCGAATGAGGGGGAGGCCGCGGCGGAAGCCACTGGCGCAGCGGAGCCTGCAGCCATGTCTGGCTCGGCCTCGCCTTGGCGCACAAGTCGCGTTTTGGTGGGCTTTGCCTGAAACCACAGAAGCAGACACAAGCAGATTGCGTTTCCAGGCATCCTCGCTCGCTTGGCTTTGACCCGCGGAGCCGTCTGCAGATTCCGCCTGGAAAGGACACATGAAACATCCCCAGACTGCCCCTAACATCCTTTAAGGTGAACAGCCGGACCTCCACACCCATCGAAGAAAGAGGAAGTCCTAGCCGGCAGTGGAGATACACAGCCCTGTTCTGATAGCGACACAGTGCTGATGACACGGCATCCCGGTATGTGCTCTCCACCCATGCCTGTGACGTGCAGACGCAGCTCTGTCAGCTCACTTGCCCAGATGGCCTTGCAGGCTCCAGGTTGGACATGCAAGAAACACTTGAGAAACCGAAAGCACCAAACCCAAACCTCAAACCCGCACCACTTTTACGGGAAGTTTCTCGGGTGACAAGAGCCTTGTCGCGAACAGGTCCAAGGGCACGCGCGGGAACACAAGCCCATCTGCTCCAGCCATGGTTTAACAGCCCGAGACCCCAAGTGTGGAGTGTCCGTGCACGTAGTACGGACGCGATACTCGTAATGACCTTTGCTTTATCGCAGAAGCTGTTTTCTAGGCCTATCATCTACGAAGCCTTGTCGGCCACTCTGTATTTGCCCTGTCACATGCTAGCTGGACAGCCGGCCGGGCAGGATATATTCGGAGGGAATCACCGACGTCGGCATTAGCGAATGCTCTTGCACTTGGACATCCAGTCTGAGGATGAATATCTGGCTGGTTTCGGTATGCCCAATCGAAGCACTTTCGGAAGGGACTTTCGCCCCTGAGCCTCATGGGTTGCGTTGAGGGGCGGCCGTTTTGACCAGGCTCCCTCAGTTGAATTTCCTACGCTACGCTTTGCACGCTTCATGCTACGATGCACGCTGGTCACTAGGCGATGCTTCGCCACCATGCTGCGCTATGCCGCTACGCTACGGTTGCACGTCTCGGCAAGGGATCCGGCCTCTTCTTTGCCCTCGCTTGTGGAGGCAACTTGGGAGCGAAGCCCCCCGAAACGAATTCGGGTTCCCTGCGGCTCGCTTGGCTCGCGCTTGAGGGGCGCCTCGCACTGCTCGAACCTCGACCTTCCAGCGGCTGCAGCAACAAAGTCTTGGACAGGAAGCTGCTGAGTTTCTGCTACGGTTGTGATTGTTGTTTTCGGCATTAGTACTCTGCACTCCTCCTCCTCCTCCTACTACTACTACTACTCCTACTACTCTTACTGCTCCTACTACTCCTACTACGATGTCTACTACGACCACTTGCTACTACTACTTGGCTGGTGTTGTGAATCTCATAGTGAGTCTATATGACCGAGACATGCCGAAACACTTCACGCCTGGAGCTCCTTGGGAAGCTGCACGCTGCCTCTCCTGCATGATTAGCATGGGAGGGCGAGTGAACAAGGTTTCTTCGTCTCAACACATTCAAGTGCATGCAACATGGCTGCTTCTGTTCAACACATGCAAGTGTGTGCAACCTACCAAACCAGCGCGGACTGCGTAGTTACCTGCTTTTGCCCGAAATTCTTGCAGCCCTCTTCTGACAGTATCGGTGCCGCCTCTGGATCTCTGGATGCACTCCCTGGGCATTGCGCAAGCACCCCAGAACTCCAAAAGACATCATGGTTCCTAAGCCTTGCGTCGGGACAGAACCTGTGAGGCATGCAGAGCTTTGCAGCTTTGGGAACTTTGGGGATTGCGGCGTTGCCGCATGCACGGCGCTACTTGACAGGCGTTGCGTTGCGTTTTTGGCTGTTGCGCTTTACAGCGTTTGAGTCGAGAACGCGCAGGCCACTTGCAGCATGACCCGGTGTATACAGTAGGCTTTCGGGTCGGGATTCTGCCAGCAAAAACGCAAGAAGACCATGGAAACGCACCAAGCTGCTCAACGGCTTACACCGTAAGGCTTGAAACCAAAACCTCGCCCAAATCAGTCTTGAGACAAGTCAAGAACCCCACATGCCGGGGTCCCCCAGAACCCGCTGAATCCCCATCGCCGAAGTTTCCAAAATACCCCTCACAGTAGGGCGGTGACGCTTGGGCACAACGTAGGACCTGCCGGGTGCCCCCAGCAACCCTCGGGCAGCTCCGTGCCTCGTCGCATCAGGGTTTACATGGGGGGTGCAGCTGAGGGATTCAAGCGTGTTGAGGTTCAGGTGAGGATTTGGAGATGCTGGCTGTTGTAGATCTCTGACTGGATTGGACTGGAAGAATGCAACACAAAGGGCTTTGGCTTGCTTTTCATCCATGCCATGACTGGGAGTCTTAACGGGCTTTACTGGAGTCGGAGGTTGCATGGAGAGCTTGGTGTGGCTACGTGATGCATTGTGATACCAGTTGCCAGTGCGGCCTTGTAGGAACTGCGCCTTGGCTTTTTTTGCAAGGATCCCCCAACAGTTACCATGAATTGAAGCTCAGCACAAGCCATAGAAACTCCAGGAAGCGCTTACAGCGCATGCAGAGTCCACAGCATAGGGTCATAGGGTCCGAAGATGCTCCGCAAAATCTGTTCCAGAAATGTCTTTGAGGGAGTGACGGCTCCACGCCGGCCGTGCAGGTGACCATGCCTTGAACCTCTCAAGGTGGAGGTGACATGATCAAAGTTCAGGATTGTTTGGACTTTGCGAGCTGGCCCTTGAGGGCCTTAAGGACTTGGGCGTGTTCTTGGTGTTCGTGTGCGCTGTCGGGCTTGGGACTGAGCAGCGCGTGCAGGATGGGGCTGAAACCGCCAAAGCCTGAAACCCAAGCTGCCCCCATCGGTTCTTCGTGCCTTGGTGATTCTATCCACCTTGGAGTAGTACCTGCGGATGCACTGGACTCCAGAGTGGGGCAAGACGCCCCAAAAAAGCAGACAAGTACTGCCAGGCACCCCAAACCCTAAACCATCTGTCAATGAGACTCGGACTCGGGGCCCACTACCCCAACCCATCCTGCAGTGGAATCGCTGCTGGGTCCCAAACCAGTCCGGGATGGAACTGAGGCCATTCTCCTCGACGAGCTGCATGAGCTTGCTGGAGCCTGCCATAACATCTGCAACGACTCTAATTCGGGGCTTGTGCTCGAGTGGGAGAAGAAGCGTGGAGTTTCCTTGACCCAACAGAACCCAGCTCTCGAACCTCAAGGTGTGCTGAGCATTCTCGACCAAAGCTCCCGGCCTGGGGAGCTGCAGACACCTTGGGCCTGGCATGTGCGATGTCAGCCCCAGCCCCCCCACCCCACCCCCCCCCCCACACCAAAAAAAAAAACTGCAGATGCAACATGGATCGGCCAGCCTACAGCTGACACCGTGAAATGCCATAACAGCCAGCAGCGATGCTGATGCACTCGGGCTCAATGTGACTCAGGATTCCAAACCCTATCTCCCTGCAAATAACCCCATGAAGCCCTGAGCCTTCAAGGCCCCAAAAGATCTCAAAATCCTACACCCCTAAAGGTACCTACCTTTCAAGGAACTACAGGTAGCTTCTTCAGAGGCGCCTCGGTCTCCTCCTTGGGTCTGCTGCTGGGCCTCTTTTAGTGGAGTTTGGGGCTTCAGGTTTTCGGTTTGTAGGATTCGGGGCTTTAGGTTTCAGGGCTTATAGGGCAGAATAGAGATGCGGACCCTCAACCATGAAGAGCGTGCAATGAACAAAGAACGGTATACAACGCTGAGGACCGCGTCGTGGGATACAAGCCTTGCCTTCTACCCATGTCGGGTGCCTGAAAGGAAAGGCAACTTGCAAAGTACGAACTTAAATTCTAAAGATCTGTCTAAGTTGTACAGTTAAACGCATGAAATCTGTAAGGCCTGGAGCTTTCGAAGCCGAAGTCCACTCCGCCGGAGAAGGTGTTCAGGAGCTCCATGGCCTGGCCATGCTGATGAGCTGGATGTGCTATTGCTGTCAGAATGGCAATTCTTGTTACTACTGTCATTATTGCTATTCTTGTTCTTATTGTCATCATTGGCATGACTGTCATGCTTGTCATTATTGGCATGATGGCTCTCGTTTACCACCTCCTTGCAGGATGATTGTAGAGCTCATTTGATCAGAGATCCTGCTCCAGAGGCAGCCACTGTAGTGATCGTTTCATCGGCTATGAGGAGGGAACGAGCACCGCGCCGCAGAGGAACATTACGGAGCTGTGCAGGACCCAAGTTTCCAAGGTCCAAGGACGGCTACGGAGCCTAGCGGCCTAGCGTAGTGTCGGGCGACCCTCACATCCCCTGTCGGGCGCCTTCGCTAGCCACTGCGAGTCGTCCCAACCTACCAAAAAGGATTGGCAGACTGACAGAGAACTTCCTGCATGAATTGACCAGCTCATGGCAAGCACAGCTTTGCCTTCGCCGGTGCGCCTGGGGGCCTCGAGTCGCGTGGTTTGTGGGGACACACCAAGAAAGACACGCGAGCCCTCAATCCTTCAGGCTCCATGCCGTAAGACTTGCAAGTAAGCAAGGTCCCGGATTTTGGCACAAAATACTGTTCAGCTAGTGAGGGCAAGCTCCCTGCAATCGGTTCTGGTATGTGAGCTTGGATCTAGGAAGGGCCCTGACGCGGGGAGCTCTGGGTCCCCTGCACCGTGGATAGGCCGTGGCGACGGCACCGTCGCCGTGCTGCTGCAGACGCTCGCCTAAGTTCTTGCCCGGAGCAGCGACAGAGATTGTAGTGCCTACATACGTCTACCTTCCCTAAACGTGAAGAACACCACAGGAAAAAGTTCTTTCTGCAAAGGCCTCTTAAACGCGCACCTTTTGGGGCACGCATTTCCTACAGGCACTTTAGGCTTCTGTGTTTGGGCCTGAAAACGATATCCATGTGTTCATGCACACATCCGAGTTCCCAACCTCGGCGAGGGGGTCCCTGTACAAACAGGTCGGACAAGAAAGACAAAGAGATACAAAAAGCTTAATCCAGCTCTGCTCGACAAGCATGGGCATGACAAGATGGCACCAACAATCC